CCCCCCCCCCCCCCCCCCCCCCCCCCCCGGTTACGAGCCAGGCCAGGGAGGACGACCTGTTGGCCCAAGTAGGAGCTTTGTCTTGCGGAAGGTCACGCGAACCTGCCGGCGGCGCGCACGTACCCGCTGGACTGCCAGCCAACGGAGGGCATAACTTCCATCAGCTTTCACGTAGTTTACAAAATGTTTCCACAGACGTCGTTCTCGCATTTAGTCCGCGGCAGCCGGAAGGAGGCACGGGAGGTATCTCCCCAACTTGACCGAGGAGGACACGGGATCCGTGACTGCAGCGCGGCGGTCCCGAGGCTCAGGGTTGCCGGCGTCGTGACTGGAGGGCCGGGAATTCTTTTCACGTTTACCGACGGGGCTGCGGCGATGCCTGCCAGCCCAGCAGGACTGCAGAGAGGGGGGAGCCCCCTGAGACACGCGGGACAGTTTGGGCGTGGATCCACCACTCAAACTGGTATTCTTCATGAAACTTTGAGAGTGCACCCCTCAAATAGGGTGACAATAGCAGGATCTGCATGTGTCGAGTAGCTCTCGGGCGGTCCGGCGCTCTCTTATCACTCGCACGGTTCTAGCAAGTCCTAGCTGGAGAGAGAAGTGACTTTCTCGAGGTTACTCTGGAGGTAGGACCAGGGCTGGGCTCTGAAGCCACGTTCTTGGCGCTCTGCCTGGCTGTCGTGCTTGGGTTCTCAGACTTCCTGCTCCAGGGGTGAGAAGGCGCAGGCTCCCTGGACTGATGCGGAGCGGCCCCCGGCCTGCATCTTCCCCGGGCAAGAAAGGTTTCAAAGGCTTCCTGCGGGTTGCGTGTGGAGAGATGATTATGTGGAAAAAACAGTCCGCGTTCATTAATGCTAGAACTGGAAAGAACCTCTGGCAACATCGGCTGGTCTAACTTCCCTCTTTCACCTACTTTATCAAGTTCCTAAGAGGAAAAATGACTTGCTTAAGATCACACATCAAATTAAGGTGAAGGGGCACCTGGCTGGCTCAGTCCGGGGAGCCTGTGACTTTTGACCTGAGGATTGTGAGTTCAAGCTCCACATTGGATATACAGCTTACTTTAAAAAGAAAAAAAAAATTCTAAGTTTATTTTTTTGTGAAACAAAAGTTTTTATTCTTTTCTTAAATAGTTTATTGTCAAGTTGGTTTTCCATATAACGCCCAGTGCTCATCCCCACAAGTGCCCTCCTCCATGCCCATCTCCCCCCTTCCCTTCTTCCCCAACCCCATCAGCCCTCAGTTTATTTTTGAGAGGGGGCAAGTTGGGAAGGGTCAGAGAAAGAGGGAGAGACAGAATCCCAAGCAGGCTCTGCACTGAATCCTGGGGCAGGGCTCCATCTCATGACCATGAAATCACAACCCGAGCCAAGATCAAGAGTGGACGGTTAACTGACTGCGCCACCTGGGCAACCCTACAAAGAACATTTTTTTGAAAGAATATACACTGAGCTCAGTCAGTTGAGTGTCCCACTCTTGGCTTCAGCTTGGGTCATGATCTCACGGTGTGCGGGTTGGAGCCCCTTGTCAGGCTTGGCGCTGACATCTCAGAGCCGGCTTGAGATTCTCTTTCCCTCTCTCTCTGCTTCATCCCTGCTTGCACACTCTCTCAAATAAACTTTAAAAAATACACACGTAAAAAATTAATATTAAAACAAATTTTAAGGTAGAGCTGGGACAAGTCTCCAGGCATCCCATCTCCCAGTCTATGATTCCTTGTTAATGTTACTAATTATTAATAATCTTTTTAAAATTTATTTTTGAGAGAGAAAGAGACAGAGCATGAGCAGGGGAGGAGCAGAGAGAGAGGGAGACACAGAATCCAAAGCAGGCTGCAGGCTCTGAGCTGTCAGCACAGAGCCCGACGTGGGGCTCCAACTCATGAACTGTGAGATCATGACCTGAGCTGAAGTCGGCCATTTAACCGACTGAGCCACCTGGGGCGCCCTAATTATCAAAAATCTTGAAAGCATAATTTGCCATAAACCATAGCATGCATAATATTCTCTCGAATAATTTGGTGTCTCCTCTAAGAGTAATTTTTATCTTTTCATTAGGAGCTTGGAGCAGCAATGATAATTATGAAATGATGAAACAGTACCAACCCACTTCACCTCCTATCTCTTTCCTGAACTCCCTCCCTCAAGAAGTCCTCACATCCCCTCTTTTCTTAAAGAAGTTGCTGGCCTCCATTTCCAGATTTTTTTTTTTTCTAGGAGACAGAGAGAGACAGCGTGAGCAGGGGAGGGTCAGAGAGAGAGGGAGTCACAGACTGAAACAGGCTCCAGGCTCTGAGCCTGTAGTCAGCAAAGAGCCCGATGCGGGGCTCGAACCCACGAACCGCAAGATCATGACCTAAGCGAAAGTCAGACGCTTAACCGACTAAGCCACCCAGGCGCCCCTCCATTTCCAGATTCTTAAGAAGCATCACTCTGGTCTCTTCTTTAGACAATGAGGCCTTTCGCCTTTGCAGAGAAGACCGGGCTGAGTCCCCTTCTTTATTTCTTCCTTTGTGGTATGGTTTGAAGTGTTGGGGTTCAGAGCTGACCCTGAGAAATAATTATTGACATACCTTTGAGCAAAAAGGTGTGTGTTTTTTATTGTTTTTATTTTTGAGAGAAAGAGTGAGCGGGGGAGGGGCAGAGGAGAGAGAGGGACAGAGGGCTTCCTGCTGACAGCAGGGAGCCCAGTGTGACCTGAGCCGAGGAAGGACACACAGGTGCCCCCAAAAGTGGTTTTACTAAAGCACACGGACAGGACCCACGGGCAGAAGGAGCTGCAGCAAGACTGTGGCGGGTGACCGGTTACATACCTTCAGGTTGGGAGGGGTCAGCGACACAGTGAGTGTCTAGGGAATCACCAGGACCTTGAAGGGCCGGCTGTTGTCGGGAAAAGGTCGTTCATTACTGTTAGTCAGTCATGAGGCTCCAGTGTTTATCAGGGGCCGTATGCTTGCAGGATGATTGCTAACTTGTATCTTGGGGGGTAGAGGTAAAGGAAGTTTCCAAAGGAGTTTTATATGTAAAGTAGACTTACAGGATGGGGGGGGGGTCGGTTGGGGTAATGTTAAGCTAAGGTCGCCTTTTGCCCTGAGCAAAGTGTCATCATTGAGGCAGCTGAATTCCTAGAGGAAGGTCACTCTGCCTGTCTCAGGACTTGTCAGTGGGTTGTAGGCAGTAAGGGAATTTAATGGTTTTTCTTCTTTGTTTCCTACATCACTTTGTACCGTACCCTCCCATGAGGTTAGGAGAGCATTCTGATAGCCCTGGATTCGTGGGCCAAGAGGATCCAGGCTAAAGAAACTGAGGGTCCTGAGTTGAAATGTTCCTTCCATTCAAGGAACAGAAAACAGAAGGGAGGCCAGCAGGGGTTGGGGGCAGAGGGGTTCAAGGTGAGTTCAGACAGAACCCAACCAGATGCCTTGAGGCCCGAGAGCAGCTCTCCACCAGCCACCCTGAACCGGGGCCCACCAGGTCTCTATAGGCTCAGAGACATCTCTACACGATCAGAGAGGTCTCTACACGCTCAGCGAAGACGGAAGGCTGCACAAAAGTCAGGTCAGGCCACTGATAGTCAGAAAGGGATTATTTTCGAGAGATGCCCTCTCTTTGGGGCACCTGGCTGACTCAGTTAAGAGTCTGACTCTTGGTGACTCCCGTTTCAGCTCAGGTCATGATATCACAGATGGGGAGTTTGAGCCCCACATCAGGCTCCGCGCTGACAGCATGGAGCCTGCTTGGGATTTTCTCTCTCCCTCCCTCTCTCTCTGCTCCTCCCCTGCTCATACACTCTCAAAAATAAACAAACTTAAAAAAAAGTCCTCTCGGGGCGCCTGGGTGGCTCAGTGGGTTAAGCGTCCGACTTCGGCTCAGGTCATGATCTCACGGTTCGTGGGTTCGAGCCCCGCGTCGGGCTCTGTGCTGACTGCTCAGAGCCTGGAGCCTGTTTCAGATTCTGTGTCCTTCTCTCGCTCTGCTCCTTCCCTGCTCATGCTCTGTCTCTCTCAAGGATAAATAAACATTAAAAATTAAAAAAAAAAAAAAAGTCCTCTCTTTGCTATTTCCCTTTTCCAATTCCGCCTCATCTTTCTCCTTTGTTGACGGTGCGGACGAGGGAAGCCGAGCGAGGAATCCGGCCCAGGCAGGGGAGCGTCCTCCCGCCGGCGCCGAGGCCCCCGGAAGGGTCTTGGCGTCTTGCAGGAGGCAGCCCAGGCGGTGCCGAGACCAGGAAGAAGACCTCAGACACGCGGGGTGGGCCCGGGCTCCGGCCTCGCCCGCGGGCGTCCCAGCTTCCGGCCGGCAGGGCCCTTCCCACCGCCCCGGGGCGCCCCAGGCCCGCGGCCCCCCCTGGGTCCGCCCACTCACCGCCCCGCCCCGCCCCCGTCAGCCGGCCTCCGGACTCTGATTGCGGCTGGGGCACGTCACTCCGGGCCTGGCCCCGCCCTCCTGGCCCTCTCATTGGCCGGCAGCGGCGGTGGGGGCGGGTCACGGCGGGGCGGGGTCCCGGGTCGCGGCGGAACCGGGCTGATGCGGCCGAGGGGGACCCTGGCGAGGTGAGTGTGCGCCCCGGGCCGTGAGGGTCGGGCCGCCTGGGCGCACGCCGCGACCCGCCCCCCCGGCCTGGGACCTCGACGGTTGCCGTCTGCCCGCCGCTGCCCCCTTCGGGCGCGGCGCCGGGGAAACGGAGCGGGGAGTGACCCGGCCCCAAACTCACCCTGCTCAGGTGGCCCACGGAGCTGCCCGCGACACCTCTGCGCAGCCCGGCCCCCCTCGCTGCGTCCACTCCTTCCTGCAGGGGGCGCATCCTGCCCTTGCCCGAGAGGACCCAGCTCCAGGTGAAAGGGTAACGAGCGCCCACAAACCCTCCCGCCTCAGTTTCCCCCTCGCGGGTTCCCTGAACGAGCCACTCGGAAGGGTGACGACTGCGGGGAAAGAGGACCGTCCCGCTACAGGAGCGCATGGGTCAGACTGAGCGGGGAAGGTCGGAAGGTGGCAGGCTGAGGGGGCGCCGCTCTGCTGACTGGCTCTCCCCTTCGCCCAGCCCCGTCTTTAAGTGACCGTCGCCCCCCCACCCCCCGTTCTGTCCGCCCAGGTCTGACAGTCGTTGGAGCAGCCGCAGCCGCCATGGGGCCCTGGGGAGAGCCCGAGCTCCTCGTGTGGCGCCCGGAGGCGGTGGCCTCGGAGCCCCCAGGGCCCGTGGGGCTGGAGGTGAAAATGGGGGCCCTGGTGCTGCTGTTGGTGCTCACGCTCCTCTGCAGCCTGGTGCCCATCGGCGTGCTGCGCCGGCCCGGGGCTGGCCCCGGAGCCTCAGGTGAGCTGTTTCCTGCGCCTCCCGAGCTGGGGTGCAGAAGGCTCTGGGGCTGAGGAGGGCCACCCAAGGAGGGGGAGGTGGCGGTGCCGATGGCTTGGGTTGGGGCCCTGAGGCTTGAGGGGTTGGTCGCTCACTCCTGTCTGTGCTCTGCTCCTGCCCAGCCTCCCGCCAAAAAGCCTTGAGCCTCATCAGCTGCTTCGCAGGGGGTGTCTTTCTGGCCACCTGTCTCCTGGACCTCCTGCCCGACTACCTGGCCGCCATAGATGAGGCTCTGGCGGCCCTGCACGTGACGGTGAGCCCTTGCGGGATGCGTGTGACCCTGCGTGCGTGGGTGTGTTCCATCATATACCTGTGGGACAGGTGGCTTGATGGCTGTCTTCCTGGGGCGCCCCACGACCACGAGGAAGGCACTTAGCACGTGACCGTAAGAGTGCCGGTGTTCAGTTGTGGGGCATAGGTTTCTGTGGTGCACGCCACCCCCGTCCCTGTGTGGCTGTTTTCCACTCTGACAGTGAGAGGAACCTTCTTACCAGGCACGTGACCTGCTCTGTGAGTTCCTTGGTCCCGCCCTCGGAGAATCCCCCTCACTCACACACCCCTGTCCTGAAGGGTGTGATAGAGGTCCCTGTGGGCCTGGAGTTCCCGACCAGAAAGGCCATGGTTCAAAGAAGTAGGATGTGAGGGAGGTTAAGGGCGAGGTGTAGCCAAGTCTCACAGGAAGAAGAGGCACCAGGAAGGCCCCTTGGGTTCTTCCTCTTCCTGCGGCTGAGGAAGTAACACTGATGTACCCCCTGTGACTGACTGGCCTGTGGCCCTGTGTGACTATGTGTAAGTCCGAATGGCCCCATGAGAGCGTGTGGCTCTGTGTGTGAGCAGGTGGTACAGTGGGCGACACGTGATGTGTGTGTGTGCACACGTGCCTCCGTGTCACCAGGCTGTCTGCATCCCCGACTCCGCTGGGCGTGGTTTGGTGCCCCCTCCGCAGGAAACACTTGGCAGTGTCTGGAGACACGACCGTTGGGTTGTCACAGCTCGGGGAAGGAGGGCCTTGTGCTTGTTACTGGCCTCTGATGGATACGGGCTCGGGATGCTGTTAAACATCCAACTGAGTACAGGACAGCCCCCCAAAATAAGTTCCTCCAACCCAAAACGTCAGTAGTGCTGAAGCTGAGACACTGGCTCGCGCACAGTGCTGTGAGGGACACTGTAATCCGTGTGGTTGTCTATCGCTCTGTGTCTGTCCCCAGATGACTCTGGCTTTGTGTAAATGTGTCTATAACTGGGACCCCACTACACCCTGACTGTGAACCCTCTGCCCACCCCGGCCTGTGCCCTCAACTCCCGGCCGCCCTCTCTCCCCACAGCTCCGGTTCCCCCTACAAGAGTTCATCCTGGCCATGGGCTTCTTCCTGGTCCTGGTGATGGAGCAGATCACGCTGGCTTACAAGGAGCAGTCGGGGCCGCCGCCTCGAGAGGAGACGAGGGCCCTGCTGGGAGCGAGTAGTGGGCCGCAGCACTGGCACGACGGGCCGGGGCCCCCAGCGGCGGCAGGAGCGCCAGCGGCCCCCTCGGCCCTGCGCGCCTGTGTCCTGGTCTTTTCCCTGGCCCTCCACTCGGTGTTCGAGGGGCTGGCGGTGGGCCTGCAGCGAGACCGAGCCCGGGCCATGGAGCTGTGCCTGGCGCTGCTGCTCCACAAGGGTGTCCTGGCCGTGAGCTTGTCCCTGCGGCTGCTGCAGAGCCGTCTGCGGGCTCAGGTGGTAGCCGGCTGTGGCATCCTCTTTGCATGCATGACACCTCTGGGCATTGGGCTGGGCGCAGCCCTGGCAGAGTCGGCCGGGCCACTGCATCAGCTGGCCCAGTCTGTGCTAGAGGGCATGGCGGCTGGCACCTTTCTCTATATCACCTTCCTGGAAATCCTGCCCCAGGAGCTGGCCACGTCTGAACAGAGGATCCTCAAGGTCATTCTGCTCCTCGCAGGCTTTGCCCTGCTAACTGGCCTGCTCTTCATCCAAGTCTAGGGGGGCTCCAGGTGCCCTAGACCTTCCGTTCCTCTCCCAGAGCAGGAGAATAAGGAGTGAGGAAGGGAAGTACTGAGGATCAAGGGGTTCTCTGGGAGATAGGGATGGAGTCTTTGGGTGAGTTTGGCCCACGAGAGGGATGTGGTAGACAAGAGCCTGGTCCCAAGGGACAGGAGATAGTTAAGTCACTAAAGACCCGATTGAGGGACATTCATATTAGGGAAGACACTGAATGCCAGAATCTAGGGTCAGACACTACATGCAGGACAGGCTGACACTGAGAGGCTGGAGGCAGGTGCCCAGCTGCTGCGGGTGGAGGTGTAGGGAGGGCACGGCCCGGAGTTGGCAGTCCCGGGCAGTCCTGGTTCTAGGCCCTTTCAGCCCTCCGTCACCCGGGGGTGGAGTGGAGCCCTCCTCTTCTTACCTCCTACTCTCCTCTCTGTCTCCCGCTTCCCTTCTCCCCGGGGACTAGTGCCAAACGGCCTCTCCCTGCCAGTTTTGGTACCTTCTCTGGCTTCTCTAGTCCTGCTCACTTCTCTATTTTTAAAGTGCCAAATAAATCCCTTCCCTCTTTCTCAAAAAGCACAGTGATGGCACGGAGCCGTGCCCGGCACTTCAGCGGTGGGGGCCCTGCTTGCTCTTTACTTGGGGGCAGAAGTGTTTGCTGAGTTAGGGCGGGGGGAGGGTTGGCAGAGCTACTGCTGACGCCACCACCGCTCCCTAGGAATATTGAACATGGACCTGGCGCCCCATGCCCAGATGTTAAAACTGAACTGCCAAAACTTTTTTTTATACCAGAGGAGCCCAAGGGGGAAGGGGAAGGCTCACCTTCAGCGTTATTTTTGGAGAGGGAGGGCTGTGGACAGAGCCATATTCTCTAGAATCTATTTTACTAACTGACCCGTTTTGGGACTTGTTACCCAAATAAAAGATGTTTCTATACATTTGTACAGTATCTGATTCATTTGTCTTGGGGAAGGGGTGGGCCCGTCGCCAGTCTGAGAGGGCCTGAGTACCAGATGTTTACAGCTGTTTTAATATCCCTGCTTTCCCGGTTCTCATTCAGGCCTGAAGACCCCAAAATTTCCTCTTTTGTCTCTTCCTTCTTTCCGCCCTGTCTCCACCCCTTCCCTTCCTCGCCTTCCCCTTCCTCCCCTGCATCCCGCTGCCCTTCGCGCTTGGAGCCTCGGGACTAGTTTAGAACTACTCTTCCCAGCCTGCCCCACGCAGGGAGGAGCCGGGGGGGAGGAGCCAGTTCCCAGGCCCCGGAGCTACAGGGCTGCTGGGAAATGGGGTCCGCTTCCTGTCCGCGCCGCTCGCCCGGGGCCGCACAAGGGTCACGTAAACAAACTACAGTTCCCGGCCGCCCCCGCGCGCGGCAGGTCCGGGCTAGGCTGGGGCCGGGTTCGCGGTGCTCGCCGAGGCGGCGGCGGCGGCGGCTGCGGCTGGAGGCGCGGGCCGGGGCCCGCGGCGGGGCCGTGGCTGGTCCGGGCGGGTGGCGGGGAGGGACGCGCGGGGAAGATGGCGACGGCGGGAGCGAACGGGCCCGGCTCGGCCGCGGCCGCAGCTTCCAATCCGCGCAAGTTTAGTGAGAAGATCGCGCTGCAGAAGCAGCGTCAGGCCGAAGAGACGGCGGCCTTCGAGGAGGTGATGATGGACATCGGCTCCACCCGGGTGAGGGGCCGCCCGGGGAGCGGGCGCGGAGCGAGCAGCCTCGGAGCGGGGAGCCGGGAGGCGGGGCGGGGGCGGGCGCCCGCGCGAGGGAGGCGGAGCGGGGCCGCTGCCGTCCGGGAGGCGCGGGCGGAGGGCCGAGGGGCCGGAAGACGCGCGTGCGGGGGCGGCCGGGGCTCGCGGGAGCCCGGGGTTGGGGAGTGAGACGCGGCCGCGTGCAGAGAGCGCATCCCCGACGGGGTCCCCGGGGGCGCCGCTGCCAGCATCCCCGAGGCGGGGCCGGGCCGGGGGCATGGTCCTCTGGGCCCAGCCTGGCGCCTCCGAGTTGGCGATGTCGTCCAGGCGGGCCCCTCTGCGCCGTGGTGCCCCTCTCGGCCCTTTAGAGCCTCCGGGAAGGGCCCCTTGAGTGGCTTGAGTCGCAGCGCTGGGTCTAGTGGGGCAGGAAGTCCCCTCCTGCGTCCCTTCCCTTTGCTTCCTTTTTCAAATATTTCTTGTGGTTTCCTGACGTGAATGAAGGTGAGGTCCATCGCTCACAGGCTGTGCTTGGTGTTTTGCCCCGGCCGCCGTGGAGGGGAGGTGGGGACCTTGAAGCTCCCAAGCGGGTAACCAGTTGGCTACTGATCAGGTTTGCTGAGCTGTCGAGGAAGATGGCTGCTTCGTGAGTCAGTTACGAGGTGCCTGGGAGGGTCTTCTGTGTGAGGGGATATTCGCTCCCAAGCAGTTCCTGCAAAAAAGCATCCTGGCAGAGCTGCCTTTGAAGCCCCTCGGGCCTTCACTTCCTGCTTCCCGGGGCTGGAGGTCCACCCGGTGAGGGGAGGAGCTGGCGCAGCTGGGAAGCAGCCCTCCTGTAGGGACAGGGTGTTCTCCGAACAGCAGGTGAGGGTGTCGCGGTGATCCCAGCGGCAGGGAGCTGGCACGAATGTCAGGGGAGATGGTGGAACATAAATACCGCGTTTCGAAGCTCTTTCCGCTGGTCTGATTGGTTGCGTCTGTGACTGTGACTCCGGTTGTGCGCGTGTGTGTCCAATTCTTAACTGTTAGTCTTTCTTGTGTTTTTTTCCTCTGAGTTTCTAGAGACCATGTGTTGTAGTTTGTGGGGGGTTATAACAGAGAGAGTTAGGTGGGGAGGCAAACCGTGTGTGTGCACACACACTCGCACACACCCCTCTCAAAATGCCATGAGGTTCCCGATCTAACTTCGGACTGGGGGGCGGCGGAGGCAAGCAGGTGGGCGGGAGGCACCGCTTGAGACCCTGCCCGCTGTGGTGGGGTGGGAGTTTAGCGGCTGGATGTGCAAACAGAAAGGCAGTGAGAAGCTCAAAGCTGAGGCTTCTGTCTCCGTTGGGCTTTGCTTTGTCTCCAGCCACCCAGCCACTGCAGAGTAACTTCTGGGCTGCGCCTAAATGTCTAGTGGGCAGACAAGGCCAGGGCTTGAGGACCCAAGAGCCTAAAGCCAAAGATAAGCGATCTGGGGCTTAGCTGGTTACCTGGCCAGCAGAGAGGGCTACCAGAGGCAGACACAGCCACAGGGGCCTACATTGCCGAGAGGCCAGGTGATCACATAGGCTCATAGCAGTTCGAGTGGCCCAAAGGTTAACACTGTGTCCACTAAACCCGTGGGCTGACCTTTTGGAACAGAAAGTCACTTCTGACGTCGGCCTGTGCACAACAGTGCCTGACCCCCCGAGGCTGAGCCTCGGAAGTAGGCGCTCACCTCCCACAGATGGGCTAGAGACCTGGAGGCAGAGGAACACCACACCAGCCCCAGGGCTGTGGTGCTTCACTGCAGGGCCAGGCACGTCTCCCCAGGGTGGGGACCAGGTCAGGAGACGGCTCTGGCCCGGGCTGAACTGGGTTATTGCTCCTCACCCCCGTTCTCAAGGCCCCCCTGGCAATTCAGAGCCTTTGAAACTAGGTAGAAGGGGGCGCCTGGCTGGCTCAGTCAGTGGAGTGTGTGACTCTTGATTTCAGGGTCGTGAGTCTGAGCCCCGCATTGGGTGTGGAGATTACTTAGAAACAGAGTCTTGAGGGGGGGGAAGAAGCTAGAAAGGGGCTTGCTCCTTGGTCTTGGCACTGCCTTTTTAGTTCGGAGAACCGTCGTTTCCTGGATATTCCAGTGGCGATGGTGCGGGTTCTGTGTGGCTCTCCTGAGGCTGGGCGAGGGGCAGAGCCTAGAAGCCTGTGCCCCCCGGAGTGGGCTGGAGACAGGCTGGCAGTAGCGGCTCCGTGCAGCCGCCTGTAGCCTGCCCCTCACGTGCCAATTAGTCCTAGACGCATCTGGAAGGGAAGGCGGAGGTGCCCCGCAGGCCCCCTTCCCAGGAGTGAGCCCATGTGACCAGCCCGGGGGCTCCTGGCAACCCCTCAGGGACTCTGTTTAGACTGATGCCAACTGGGATAGGCCGCGAGCAGAGTGTCAGGCCCTGCTCGGTGGGGGATGCCCGCCGTCGGCGGTGGTGACGAGAGTGGCCTGAGGAAGAGCCGGGGCAGTTTCCGCACCAGGCCTTGGCGGACCTGTCCCCTGGCGCGGCCCCTTCATCGGATGGCTGTCCTGCGTGCGCCAGCAGTGTGGCACGCCGATGGGACAGCGGTCAGGAGCCTCCCTGACGCTCCCGTCTGTCCCCTGTGTCTCAGTTACAGGCCCAAAAACTGCGACTGGCGTACACGAGGAGCTCCCATTACGGCGGGTCTCTGCCCAACGTTAATCAGATTGGCTGCGGCCTGGCCGAGTTCCCGGTGAGTGGACGCCAGCCGGGTGGGCACGGGCGCCCGGGCAGCTGCCCCTGGTGACTCACCTGTGTCTTTTGGCAGAGCCCCCTCCACTCACCTCTGGACTCGTCTCGGAGCACCCGGCACCACGGGCTGGTGGAGCGGGTGCAGCGAGACCCCCGCAGGATGGTGTCCCCGCTGCGCCGCTACCCCCGCCACATATCCTTCCGGGTGGGGGGGGAGGGGCGGGGTTCCCGGAGAACTCGTGGTGCGAAGGGACCGCGTCCTTCACCGGCCTCCCAGAGAGGCTGCCCCCGGCCCTGACGGCCGGTCCCCGGCTGGCGCGGCCTCCTAGGCGCTCTCTGCCGCCGCAGGGTCTGCTGCTGGGGGTTTGCGTCCCGCCCCTGCCCGCTCTCCCTCAGCTTTCTGTCTTTAGCTCTCGTGCGCGTCAGAGGCGTTCGTTGACTCGTTTCCCACGCCCTGGCTGCCTGCGCTGCTGCATTCGTCCGTCTCTACTGGGCCTGGTTCCTTTCTTGCCTCCAGGCTTTGGCCCTGTTGCTGCCCTGTGTAGAAAAGGGGGGGTGGGGGGCTTGTTTTTGGAACGCCTTCCCTTGCCACCGCAGTCATTCTCTCGCCGGTCTCTGTCCGCAGTCCCCCTCCTCCCTTTGTCCTTAACCCGTGGGCTCACTTCGACAGCTCCCCCTACAGCCCTGCCTACTTGTCTCCTCCCCCGGAGTCCAGCTGGCGGAGGTCAGTGTCCAGGGAAGACCGACCTCGTGTCCACTCTCTCACGTGTCTCTGGAGGCGCCCGGGTTGGGGCCGGGCCTCCACGACGCAGGGCTGGGAGGGTGGGGGCAGGCGGAGTGGGTGGGTCAGAGTCCGGTCTTGGCCACGTTGCCACGGGCGGCCAGGCCTCCCGGCCCGGCCAGTGTGGGACCGGCGGGGACTGTGGGCGGCTGGGGGGTGTCGGGGGCGGGGGGGAGGGCGGCCGGGCGCCAGGTGCGGTGTCCTGGCCCTCAGGTGCGTGAGCCTCCCCGCCCACGGCCTCCCGGGTGCCCACGCCCTCCCGGGTGCCCACGCCCTCCCGGGTGCCCACGCCCTCCCGGTGCCCACGCCCTCCCGGGTGCCCACGGCCTCCCGGTGCCCACGGCCTCCCGGGTGCCCACGCCCTCCCGGTGCCCACGCCCTCCCGGGTGCCCACGCCCTCCCGGTGCCCACGGCCTCCCGGGTGCCCACGCCCTCCCGGTGCCCACGGCCTCCCGGGTGCCCACGGCCTCCCGGTGCCCACGCCCTCCCGGTGCCCACACCCTCCCGGGTGCCCACGCCTGCGCAGTCCTGCCGGGAGCCAGGGGGCCCATCCGCTCGCCCTGGAAGAGACAAGTCGGGAATTTCCAGCTCCCTTAGCTCCATCTCGGGAGAGGGGTCATGGGTCACAGGTAGCAGAAGAACCAGAAGGGAGGCGGCTCGTTCCTGGGTGTTCAGTCCCGTCCGTGTCCAGCCCTGTGCCTGCCTTCCTGTCCCCCCACTGGCCACCTTCCTCGTGACCTGTTTCCACCCCAGGACGATGCCC